AGCCGAGTGATTGCATGTTGATCTCGGCAAACAATCGTGTTATTTTACGGAGCATCGTTTAGATACACTGGAAACAAACCTGTAGACAACCGGCAATTGCAAATCCTCATCTCGTTTGCATAGAGCACAGTACATGTAATATTCAGTATGCAAATGTACGCCACACTGCATCTCGGTTAGTTACTCCCGCCTGTGAGTTATGGGCGTGTGGGAGACCATCTACATGCAGAGGCAATGTATACGGTAATGATTATTCATAGGTCTTGTTAGTTTTATGTGATGTCTCGTTATTATCCTGCCTCTACCTTAATGTGTGTGTGTGTGTGTGTGTGTGTGTGTGTGTGTGTGTGTGTGTGTGTGTGTGTGCGTGTGTGTGTGTGTGTGTGTGTGATGGAAGCCCCTCGAAAGCGAGGATGGCAGGCCCAAGGGCCACCTAGGCGTGAATTTGTTTAAGGTGTAGAACCGGCGCCCACACAACAACCACACCCTAAGTTAACGAGCTGCATGACCCAGTGTCAAGGAATAGTCCGAGAAGACCGGACAACTCGCCAACTGCACTGGCTAACCATTACCCCGGAATACGACCCGCAAGTCGATTAACATCCAGGTTCCCAATTACTGCTGGGTAGACAAAGGCAAACGGCGTAAAGAAACTTGCCCATAGATTCACCCTGCCCGAGGATCGAACATGGGTCCGCTCGCTTGCAAGACGAGGATGCTGACCATTACACAATTGAAAAGGTATAAGGATAGTTTTAAGACAAACCTAAAGAAGGTGCCAAATCGACCCCCTCACCTCGGGGTCGATTACTCCACATCGTAACGCTTGGAGGAGCACCACACGAGAAGGTGACAATACTTTCGAGTTAGCCCGACTACAAATCGAGACAAACAAGCGGTAACGCGGGAGAGACGCTGTCACCGCCCCTCCCGCACTAGATGCAGCCCTCCACATGTACAACGTTTGTGAACGACGCTGAGGGTCCCGTAACGGCATCTTTAGTTCACTTCAGAGCTCAACAACGAAGGTAACATCCCTAATAACTCATATCATTGTGTCATAGCTGGATAATCGTCATACACGGTTCCGAGTGACAGCAAAGTAGTAGTAGTAGGCCTGTTGCAGGCAATGTATGCAAGAGGCCTATCCGTGCTCCAACACACAATAAAATTTGAAACAACCGCAGTCAAGCAAGTGGCGTATGCTGACGACCTTACAGGAGCAGGAAAAGTGGAGGACATCAAAAAGTGGTGGGACTTGGTAACATCATATGGTCCACAAATAGGGTACCACCTAAATGCCAGCAAGTCCTTCCTCAATGTGAAGTCAGAACACTATGAACGGGCAATGGAGGTGTTCGGTGGAAGTGAAGTCAAAATAACAAAGGAGGGCCAAAGACACCTCGATGCAGTAATCGGCACAACAAACTTCAAGACCGAGTACATAACGGGAAAGGTAAATGAGTGGGTCAGGGAAATCCAAGCTCTGTCGGATATTGCTGACACAGAGCCTCATGTTGCTTTAGCGGCATTCACCCACGGAGTCAAGCAGCGCTGGAACTACCTGATGAGTACTATCCCTGATATCGGACCTCTCCACCACCCTCTGGAAGAAGCTATCAGCGTCAATTTCATTCCAAAATTAGTGAAACATCTCCACTTAACCACAGCAGAAATCACTCCTTGCACTACCACTGAGACTAGGAGGAATGGGATTGACCAATCCAGAGGAGATTGCTGCCACCGAACATCAAAACTCAGTCAAGCTTACAGCAGCCATCACAGATCACATAATAGCTCAGAACACAACAGGTGAGGTAGATACCAGTGAAGTAAACAAGATTCGAAGGTCCATTATGACAGAACGACAGCACGGCCAATGTGATAAGTTGTAGCAATTGATGTTGCAAGTAGCGGAGAATTTGAAAAAAAAAGAAAAGTAGCTATGGCGCAGGAGGTGGGCGCCTCGAACTGGCTGACTACATTACCGATAAGAGCAAAAGGTTTCAGTCTTAACAAACAAGAATTTACAGATGCCATTGCTCTAAGGTACGGTAGGCCAGTAGTAGGTTTGCCCTCCCAATGCATGTGTGGCTCTTCCTATGACGTCAATCACGCCATGGTGTGCAAGAAAGGGGCTTCATATGCATGAGGCACGACGAAGTAAGGGATCTCACTGCAAATATGTTGAAGGAAATTTGTCGTGATGTCAGGGGAGAAGCGACCCTCCTTCCATTGGACGGTGAGAATTTCCAACAAAGGACTTCAAACACATCCAACGAAGCCTGCGTTGACGTCAGTGCTCGAGGATTCTGGACGCGGGGACAGCGAGCCTTCTTCGACATCAGGATTTTTTATCCCATGGCCACATGTCACCGCAGCCTAGCTCTCGATGCTGCACACAGGAGGAACGAGAACGACAAGATTAGGGCATATGGGGAGAGAATTCAGAACGTTGATCAAGGCAGCTTCACTCCTCTGGTGTTCACTACCTCTGGTGGGATGGGACCAAGTGCAAGATGCGTCTATGCCAGACTCGCCGAGGTGCTATCTGAACAGAAGCAGCAGCCCAGAAGTTATGTTACAGCCTGGATGAGATGTCGACTGTCCTTCTCTCTCCTTGGGTCTGCTTTGCTCTGCCTCAGGGGAACGAGAGCATCGGCCCCAAAGGCGACAGCAGTTGCAGATATTGAGTACGAGGCAACAGTCACTGAATGCCGCCTAGATCTGCGGCTCAACTAACTCAACACAGCTAGAGTAGCTACTTATGTATTAGGATAGTAAATTTTAAAGTAATAAAATGGCGGCAAAGGTGTGGCTATTGGGGGAGGCTGGAGGCCACGTAGTAGTCTGTTTCGGGGGGGGGGTAGGGAGGGTATGAGGTAGTTGTGTTGTAAGTAGTGGTGGTCACTATACCCCCACACACATCCTCCCAGTGTACAGTCCCCTTCACTGGTGGGTTTACAGGGGCTCGTCTTATAAACATTCCACAAATCAATACATTGAGATATTTGTTTCAATATTGTTTTCCTTTGATTCCATAGTATGTTTACCATTGCGAGTTTCCTGCTGTCGAATGCAAACAAAACAAGGGCTGCCACACTGCACAAAACCTGACGACCCTTTGTAAACGCACTAGTGAATGAATGACACTAAGACTCTGCACTAAGACTCGGCGTTAAGACTCGGCTCTAAGACTTGGCGCTAAGACTCGGCACTAAGACTTGACACTTAGACTCGGGCACTAAGACAGTTGTATTTTTGGAGGATTCAGAACGGCTGACAAATTATGAATACGATAATGAGCTTTCAATAACCTCGAGTATAACAGTTGTCCCTCGTGTAACGAGGATGGCCGGCCCAAAGGCCTCCTAGGCGTGATTTGTTTAAGGAATAGAAGCTGTCGCCAACACAACAACCACACCCTAGGTTAACGAGTTGCATGACCCAGTGTCAAGGAATAATCCGAGAAGACCAGACAACTAGCCAACTGCACTGGCTAACCATTACCCAGGAATACGATCCGCAAATAGATTAACATCCAGGTTCCCAATTACTGCTGGGTAGACAGAGGCAAATGGCGTAAAGAAACTTGCCCATAGTTTCACCCTGCCTGGGGATCGAACTTGTGTTTGCTCGCTTGCGAGGCGAACATGCTGACCATTAAACCACAGGTCGCCACACCAAGGGTGACAGCATTACCCAGTCGCTACAGTTTGGGTAACCGCTGTGTTCACTGCTCAGAGCCCCGGCGTTTGTGACTCGTTGGGGGGTGTCTGACTAACACACTAAAATATTTAAATTCCTACTAAAACAAGCGATCCAATCTGTTAGTAAAAAGAGGGCGTAAAACAGTTAGTTCTATACATTGCCCGCCGCCAAGGTGAGAGATTTAGCTGGGTCACATCTGCTTTGACATGTTATTGATATGCATGTAAAATAAATTTTTATTTCTGTATTTGTCATAATGATCAAGTGCATAATTTTCATATGCATAAGAACGACATTCTTCCCTGATAACTTCAATAACATGCCATCTTCACCAGAGAGAGAGAGAGAGAGAGAGAGAGAGACGTCCGCAGGGTGACAACACCAATAAAAAAGGAAGTGAGGAATCCTATATTTTTTTTTTACAATTACATTCGGAACGGAATGTTAAGAGGAAATGTGAGTAACATCCTCAGGTAAGAGACATTATAACCAAGAACACTCACAGGTGTGTAGTTCAGGATCCCAACACTGCTGGTGCTGCATTACTTCATTTAGTTTCGATACTGACGCGGACTTTTGGAGATGACTGTACACCTTAGAGCTAGACGGTGGTGGAGTGTGTTTTGAGGAGTATGGTGACTTGTCTCATTTCTGCTTTACTGCCTAAGTCCACACACACACACACCTCTCTCTTCTCTCTCTCTCACGGAGGAGCTTCACCATCAGGGGGAGGGCCACGAGCTGCCTCACCGTCACTACAACAAAAACATTGGCAGGTTCTAGGATGACATATAATTACCGCCACTCCCTCCCTCCTCTAATGGGATAATTTCACATTGTATCTGCTTGTGTCCTGTTCGCTTCCACCCCCTAGTCTGCTGGAGGCTTTAAGTATCTGCTGAATGATACAGGAGTCTGCTGGAGGCTACAATTGTCTGCTGGAGGATACAGGAGTCTATTAGGAGGCTACAAATGTCTGCTGGATGCTACAGGACTCTGTTAGAAGCTACAAGTTTCTTCTGTAGGTTTAAAAAAAACCTGCTGGAGGATACAAGTGTCTGCTGGAGGGTACAAGCGTCTGCTGGAGGGTACACGTCCACCATCACTATCATCATAATTGTCCGTCATCAACTTAGTCACCACTACTACTACTACCACTACCACCACTTATAGCACTACCACCATCATCGTACTGACAGCATCAACACAAGAGTATCATATGGTAAGAGTTGACAGCCGCTCCGTCATCATCTAGGGTTATCATCAGTCAAGCTTTGGTCTTCACTCACTTGGTCTTTGTCACGGTGGCTGTGGGCGGACAGTTGCTCGGCACGACTGAGTACGACACATCCTGATTGACTGCTGCATGATACAAGTTCCCCCCTGTCATGCAGAGATGTCTTGCTTCATGCTACAAGAACCTTCCAGTCAGAGATGTGAGGATATGTGCCACAAGGCCATCATGGATGTAAAGAAGTCCTGAGATAAGCACATACACCTGACACATTTGGTTACCGCCCTGTGGCAAGGTCCTGGGTCCAGGGTCCAAGAGCGTCGCACGATAAACCTTCCTCTTACAGGTGTATGAAGATGTAAGCCTTGTTGATCTAAGCTAATGCACGAAATTAACGTTAAAAAATAGCATAAAAAATATACTGAGACTACCTTAACTCCCTACGTTACAATGCACCAGACAAAAACTTCAAGAAGTGACTGGTGTGAATGTATCTAACACACGTCTTCTCACCATAATTTTTATGTTAATTTTGTCTATTATTGCTTGTATTTTAGCCTAAGTCAACGTGTGAGGAGCTGGAACCCGGCACATTGAACCTCTCACTGGCCTAGTTGTGGAGGTTTATAGTAGCGCGATTTTATTATACCCAGTTCATGTTGAGTGTTAAGACCCCCCCCCCCTTTTTCTACCTTGATTTATGACAAGTGTTAATGTTAAGGACGGGTTATATAGCGTGTCTCACCGTATCTTGGCTGTGTGGTGTAATGATAACTACGATGTGTTTGTATTCTCTGCTTGTCTTAACTCTCATTTAGTGTGATAGTAACTAATGGAATGTTGCTTCGTATGTTCCCGTCCCTAAGAGCAAGACCATAGTAGCGTGGAGCTCTCTCTCTCTCTCTCTCTCTCTCTCTCTCTCTCTCTCTCTCTCTCTCTCTCTCTCTCTCTCTCTCTCTCTCGACTTGGGCTAGCAACACCCTAACACAAGAACCTGTTATCATAGACTTTAACACTGAAAACAATATATACAATAGAATGTATAGACCAAGCTTGACACTAACACACAGACGGACATTACCCTGAACTTTCTCTGGAGGGACACTAGGACCTGCATCCTTGACGTCAACCATTACAAACAGTCACACTAACTTTCCTCACACCCCCCGAACCAGACAACTTGTACATTGACATCATCTGTCCAAGGAAACTCTTAATCCAGGAAACCAAAATATCTCAACATAATACTATAAAAAGATCATATAGTGACACCACTATGAGGATCACAGTACAGATCTCATCAAAACTCAATGGTGGATAAACACTTCGTCCAAAAAAGTATCTTTACCGAGGGGTCCGATGAATTTCAAAACGAACACTACGACTCCTGTTCTCTCGGTAAGGTTGTGGAAATCCTTCATCCGTTGTGTCATATTGTATGTACATTGTATATTCTTGTATTATTGAAGGTTAAATGAGCCTATACTTATTACGTCACTCTCTCGTGTCCGTATTTATTCACAACTTCAGATGTATTATGAGTCACGGCTGATGAAACACTTGTATACTATAGGCTTGACTCACTTACCCACCCACCCACCTAATTACCCATCCACTCAACCACCAACCCAGCAACCAACCCAATCACCCATCCACTTAACCACTCATCCACCCACCAGCAACCAATCCAACTACCCACCCATCCACCCACCCAGCCCTGTAGGCCACTCTTATGGCTGTGGTCACGCTGATTATAGAGTACAGTTATAGGGTCAGTGACGGAGATAATCATCAGACAAGCGCAGTGAAGCCCTAATGAGTCTTACCTGTCGTCAACAACAACAGGGGTGGGAGGAGGGAGGGAGAGGGCAGGAAGGAGGGAGGAGAGGGGCGGAAGGGAGGAGGGAGAGGGGGTGGGAGGGAGGGAGAAAAAGGAGAGGCAGGAGAAAGGAAGGGGAGGGGGAGGAGAGAGGTGTGGGAGGAGGATGAGAAGGATGGAATCTTGGGAGTAGGGGTAGGAGGGAAGAAGGGAAGAGGAGAGGAAGGAAAGGAAGGAGGGGAAGAAGGAAGAGGAGGGGAGGAGGGGAGGAGGAGGAAGGAGGGGGAGGAGGAGGGAGGAGGAAGGGGAAAGAGGAAGGAGGGAGAGAGGAGGAAGGAGGAGGAGAGGAGGAAGGAGGAGGAGGGAGGAAGGAGGAGGAGAGGAGGAAGGAGGAGGAGAGGAGGAAGGAGGAGGGAGAGGAGGAAGGAGAGAGGAGGAGGAAGGAGGGGGAACGGCGGGAGGAGGAGAAAGGAAGAGAATTAGGTAAAGGGTGGTAGTGAACGAGACAACGGCTGAGTGTTTACTTCTAAACTCCCTGACTCGTGTAATCAGTGGACCAATGAGGTTGATGGACCACATGGAGGCTGGTGTACCACATGACAGCTGGTGGACCACATGACAGCTGGTGGACCACATGGAGGGAGGCTGGTGGACTACGTGTTAGCTGGTGGACCACACGAGGGCTGTTGGACCACACGAGGGCTGTTGGACCACACGAGGGCTGTTGGACCACACGACAGCTAGTAGACCACATAAGGTTAGTGGACCACATGAAGGTTGATGGATCATATGATAGCCGGTGGACCACTTGAGACTGGTGGACCACATGAGGCTGACGGACCACACAAGCCATAAGGTTAGTGGACCACATAGAACAGGTATAACTGGGAAAGGTTAAGGAACAGTACTGCAGGTGAAAAGGGAGAGGAATGATGGAAAGGTGGAGGACTGACTGGCAGGGCATGTGAAGGAACAGGTGGAGGGAGAGTATATGGTACAGGTGTGTCTCATGAAGGAGGTGGAGAGACAGGTGTAGGGAGATACGTAAGCAACAGGTGTGTTTCCTGAAGGTGGAGAGACAGGTGTAGGGAGATACGTAAGCAACAGCTGTGTTTCCTGAAGGTGGGGAGACAGAAGACACTACCTGAAGGTGGTCATCGATCATGTAAGACGACCCTGAAGGCTACAAGACCTCCGTGGGACTCACCTTCGCCTCAATGAGTCATGCGAAACCCAACCACAATATTTTCCCATCATATCGAATACCTTGTTGGTTGTGTCAGTCAGCCCAATACCCGTTATACCTGATCTGAGTGAACACCTTACCTTTAGTATTTTTTCATTCATTGTTCAACATTTATGTTCTGCCTGGCTCTTACCTGGCGTCTTATCCAGGTTCTTCAAATCACTCCTTCCTGCAACAGGTAATTAGTTCCACCTGGCGAGTACAAGGACAGGAAGTGCGACCACACAGGTGTATCTAACGGTGAGAGAGAGAGAGAGAGAGAGAGACTATGGGTGGCCACCAAGAAAGTGAGAGACGGCCGCCACACCCACCATGATAGGGCCAGGCATTATCCTCACTGTGAAGGACAATTAATGTCACTCTACTACATATTACACCGCACCGTCGGATGACCCTCTTGGTTATAGGGGAAGAAATGCTGGGTGGTTCTTCTTCTTTCCTCGCCTTCTTCTTCCTCCTCCTCTCCGTTCCTCGCCTTCTTCTTCTTCCTCCTCCTCTTCTTTCCTCGCCTTCTTCTTCCTCCTCCTCCTCTTCTTTCCTCGCCTTCTTCCTCCTCCTCTTCTTCTTTCCTCGCCTTCTTCTTCCTCCTCCTCTTCTTCCTCCTCCTCTTCTTTCCTCGCCTTCTTCTTCTTCCTCCTCCTCCTCTTCTTTCCTCGCCTTCTTCTTCCTCCTCCTCCTCTTCTTTCCTCGCCTTCTTCTTCCCTCCTCCTCCTCTTCTTCTTCTTTCCTCGCCTTCTTCTCCTCCTCTTCTTTCACGCCTTCCTCCTCCTCCTCTTCTTTCCTCGCCTTCTTCCTCCTCTTCTTCTTTCCTCGCCTTCTTCCTCCTCCTCCTCTTCTTTCCTCGCCTTCTTCTTCCTCCTCCTCCTCTTCTTTCCTCGCCTTCTTCTTCTTCTTCTTCGTCACAACCCTACGTAAGACCTTGCATAACCAATCAAGACCTCCTTCTCTTAACGACCCTCCACGTCCTCGTCACACGCCTCCTTCACACCTCTCACCCGTTACTCCCACGCCCACAAAACACGTCTCTAACCCCCCATTCCCACGCCTCTGTCCCCTACTCCCACATCACACGCCTCTAACCCCCTACGCCCACACCACGCTCCTCTGACCTATTCCTAAATCCCACGCGACACGCCTCTAATCCCCCACTCCCACATTCCACACCCACACGCCTCTGATCTCCTACTCCCACGCCACACGCCTTTGACCTACTCCCACATCCCACGCCCACACATGACCTCAGTGCACAGGTTCCCTCGTTACCAGCAAGCCGTGGTCACTGTGGTTGAGTTATTCACATGTTTGTCACAGCAGGTGTTTACACACATGTGGCCGCCGTGACCAGGCTGCGGGCGTCCTCAAGGGGTCTCAGCTGCTACCCACACTATTTGTTGTTCCTGCATTTCTTGATGAGTTCCTTAATATTCAGTGCATGTTATGGTGAGTTCCTTAATATTCAGTGCATGTTATGGTGAGTTCCTTAATATTCAGTGCATGTTATGGTGAGTTCCTTAATATTCAGTGCATGTTATGGTGAGTTCCTTAATATTCAGTGCATGTTATGGTGAGTTCCTTAATAGCCCCCAATTACTGTTATGGTGAGTTCCTTAATATTCAGTGCATGTTATGGTGAGTTCCTTAATATTCAGTGCATGTTATGGTGAGTTCCTTAATATTCAGTGCATGTTATGGTGAGTTCCTTAATATTTAGTGCATGTTATGGTGAATTTCCTTAATATTCAGTGCATGTTATGGTGAGTTCCTTAATATTCAGTGCATGTTATGGTGAGTTCCTTAATATTCAGTGCATGTTATGGAGAGAGTTCCTTAATATTCAGTGCATGTTATGGTGAGTTCCTTAATATTCAGTGCATGTTATAGTGAGAGTTCCTTAATATTCAGTGCATGTTATGGTGAGTTCCTTAATATTTAGTGCATGTTATGGCGAGTTCCTTAATATTTAGTGCATGGTATGGTGAGTTCCTTAATATTCAGTGCATGTTATGGTGAGTTCCTTAATATTCAGTGCATGTTATAGTGAGTTCCTTAATATTCAGTGCATGTTATGGTGAGTTCCTTAATATTTAGTGC